GGAATTCTCCCCATTCCTGTTTCAGGTTCTGATAAGTGGATGGCTGTATCAGATTACATCCAAAGACTGTTCCTCAAATCCCTCAGTCACAAATACGTCAAATGTGTTTCAGCGTTTTTGTACTTTATCAATCTTAGTCTGGGGTTTGGGGTGGGCTTAATTCCAGATCAAAGATTTTCTGCCTAGTAATTACATTGGGAGTGTAGAGACCCTCTGTTATCATAATGTTATAAAGTCCAGGAGATAGCAAAGGAAGGCAAGATGATTTACTGGTCCCCTGAATTCTCTGTGCCCCCTATCAAACACATTTATGTCTACAGATCTCTGGCATTTGCGTGTTGTTTTTGTCTTAGTTTCTCTCTTAAGGCCAATCACTGAATTGTCAACTGCTCACAGACTGCCGTCATATATCTGGAACAATGCTGAGTGCAGCATCGACTGCGATATTTTAATGGCTGTGTCAAAGTCAGCAGGATGAACTGCAGTACATGTTCCAAGAATTCAGATTTCAGTGTGTAGACAGAGAGGATTTTATGAACACTTCTCTGGGTCAATAAACCGGGGGCTGATGTTTGTTTCTGATCAGCAATTTTTAATATTTTTGTGCTCAATTATTCAAATCTATAATATATACAAAAACGAACTGTATTTTTTTTACACTTTAATATAGTCTGCATGTAAATGGCGCCTTTCCTCCTGCAATGCGAGACATATGTATTTGTTTTGTCAGTAAAACATGGGTTTGATTATGTATGTGATATTTCTTTCTAAATCATAAACTTAAATTTTATACATTTCCGGTTATGCTTATTGGATAATCATTACAGTTCGTACAGTTATAAAAGCATGGAAACTTAGAAGGTATTTTTGACATGCGAGTACTCGATACTTTTGGCGTCTGAAACGCTCGTAAAATACAAGTATGGCACAAACGGAAATATGAGATTTCTCGCCAAAATTTAAGGAATACTGCATTTCAAAAGAGTTATTGAATACGTACCATGCCCTTAACTTCGGTTTCATTTGAAGCGACTGGCAGCAACACGTGACATTCGGAGGAACCGGCATCTTATATATGATGTTGTCAGGGTACCTTCAACCTGTTTCTAGAATAGAATAGCTTATAGAATCTTTGTCTTCTGGAGATTTATGTCTTATACAGACTCTCTGGTGAATGTGGTATGTTTTGCTGGATAATGGTATTTAAGAACTTAAATTCGTAAAACAAGACACAACTAGCGTTGAGATTTCCACCGGAAATGACGTAGCTCCAATGCACGCGCTGTCACAACTGATTCCAGACTGTTTTAGAACGAACAAATTCAATATACTGGTACTAGAAAGAGAAAATAAAGTGAGAAATATATCTGAAAAAGGTAACATTTCCGAACATGGATTGAACAAGTAAAGACTGACGTGCTTTCCAATGAGACTACCCTTATTTGAAATCTGTGGAATACTTTGGAAAACCTTGAAAAGCGCTAGAAAACATTAGAAAACATTGGAGTTCAATTAAATGATTCTGAATTTTAGAGAATACAATTCATTGCTTAATCTGAAAACTCGCTCACTCACCCACACACCTAAAACTCACTCACTCACCCAACCAAGACTCACACACTCACGCATCCAAAACTCACTCGCCCACCCATCGAAAACTCACTCACTCACCCACCCACAACTTACTCACTCACTCGCCCAAGATCACCCACTCACTCATTTAGGGCTGGGACGAGTCCAAATTTACTACCCGTGTACCCGATACCCTATTACCCGGCCCTACCCGGATACCCGTTACATGTCTCAAGAGTTGGGTACAAAATGTCCGAATGGGAATTGTTTTACCGCAGCCCTGGCAAAAACTATTTAGATACATGATCATGCAAACACTGCAGTTGATAGACCCTTTATCCTTACTCGAACATATAAAAGTCAGAACGAATGCCTGCATAGTAAGAAAGAAATGTGAACATTAGCTATACTTGTAGTGTAACCATTGAGTTTTATTGTTAATGTCATTAAACAGTATGTCACGTGACTAACCACGGGTCCGGGTAGTCATGTGGGTACCCGGGTCCTACTCAGGACCCACCCGACGAGAGTACCCGAGTTAGCCGTCCCAGCCCTACACTCATTGCAAATGTTACACACAAGATACATTTCATTTAACTTATATTAATGTTTTAGTCTACCCTCTCCCTGCAAACGTTATTAAGACACAGAATGTGATATACCGACATGTCTCCTCTCAAGCAGAACTTCTGCATATTCACTCTTATATTATAAACTCCCACCGGACAGCTGTAGGATGCTTCTTGTAGTGAGGCTGTAGAAGTCGGAAAGTTTTAATGATAACCAAATTCAATATTAAATAATTCCCTTCAAAGTTCCACATATGCGATCATTTAAAAGTACGTTTTTCTTCTTGGCTTGAAGGAATTTTTCTCATCTATGTTCCCCCTCTCACAATGTGACCATGTACACGGGTGGCCCTGCCGTCGAAGGCGCCACAATTCGCTATGCAGAAACTAATGATCGTGGGTTCGAATCGGCTCAATATCTATTTTATGTTAACTCTTTGAACATTCCTGGATCCCATATTTGTCAGAGTCGGCTGGTGGAGATCGGGTGGTTACAGTGTGGGATCTGATTGCGTCATCGTTCACTGACGGCGTGCATCGTTGCTCTTGTTATCAACCACTGGTTTGCCTGGCCGAATCAAAAATTTCACGAGGAAGAGAATTTATGGACATCAACTACGTTAGGGAAGAGAATATATGGATATCAACTTCGTTAGGGAAGAGAATATATGGATATCAACTACGTTAGGGAAGAGAATATATGGATATCAACTTCGTTAGGGAAGAGAACTTATGGATATCAACTTCGTTAGGGAAGAGAATATCTGGATATCAACTTCGTTAGGGAAGAGAATATATGGATATCAACTTCGTTAGGGAAGAGAACTTATGGATATCAACTTCGTGTGGGAAGAGAACTTATGGATATCAACTTCGTGTGGGAAGAGAATTTATGGATATCAACTTCGTTAGGGAAGAGAATATATGGATATCAACTCCGTGAGGGAAGAGAATTTATGGATATCAACTTCGTTAGGGAAGAGACGAATGGATATCAACTTCGTTAGGGAAGAGAATATATGGATATCAACTACGTTAGGGAAGAGAATATATGGATATCAACTTCGTTAGGGAAGAGAATATATGGATATCAGCTTCGTTAGGGAAGAGAATTTATGGATGTGTCTTCTTTACTATTGCTGATCACCTATCAGCGCCAATTATCTATTGGCTTCGCTTGTTAAGTTTCCACCTTTTGTTATCTTATTACTGTTGCTGTTCTTACATGTACATATATATGCGCTCTGCCTACATACCATTCATTCCCCGGATGAAGCATAAACCCCGAAACGTTGTGTTCCTCATAATAAAGAAGTTGACATCCATACATTCTCTTCCTTATGTGTGTCACTTCTAAATGAATTATTTCATTGGTCTTGCCATCGTCAGGAATCAAAACAGGAATCACTCACTCGTGCTACACACGCCAGCAATGTTCAGCTGATTGTCACCGTCCTACTGTGTAACGTCATCGCAAAAAGCCTTCACCTGTCAGGGTTTCGTTCCAGGTAGATTTAGTGTGGATGCCATTTGTCAGGGTTCCCCGACAGCTGACAGGTCGATGTGGCTGGTGAGGAGGGTGTTATGGCTGTCGTGTGTTAGAGGGCTGTTTGTCTCTACACAATCAGTCAGGGTCTAAAGGAGCTTAGTGGGATTTGTGGTAGTCAACCTATCCCCGATAATGTGAATTATTTTAAGATAATGTATCGTCATGACATATATTCTGAACATTTATCGTTGTGTTTACGTTTGACTAAAAGTTGGTGTTTGCTGCATTGCATTATTCAACATGACTGAATTGCATGATGCCCTGTGACGTCACTTGGCAGCTGGATTTCTGTTAGAATGAAATGAGTTTTATTTTACGCCGCCTTTGGTGAAATCCGCGAGCACGGGTATGGAACTGACAAATTTAGAAATATAAGCAGGGTGAATCTGGGATTCGAACCCACTATCATATTGTTTGTTTGTTTCTTTTTGTTTAGCGCCGACTCAGCTATATGACGGCGGTCTGTAAATAATCGAGTCTGGACCAGACAACCCAATGAGATCATGAGCATCGATCCACGCAATTGGGATCGATGACATGCATCAACCAAGTCAGCGAGCCTGACCACCTGATCCCGTTGTCTTACGATAAGCATAGTCGCCTTTTACGACAAGAATGGGTTGCTGAAGACCTATTCTAACCCGGATCTTCACGGGTGCTCCACTATCATAGGTTTCTGGCACGTGTGATGGACGCTCAATGGTTGACATGTTGATATTCTATAATATAGCGCCAGGAGTGAATACTGTATGTAGGCTATTTTATTTGCTATATCCCACATAGCATATGTCTTGACAGCTTGTCTGCTATCATATTTATAGTTACATGTGTAACACACGAAACTGTCCATCTGAATGGTGAATACATGTACAGAGCGTTGTCAAGCACGCCCCTCACTACGACCCGGGATGGCTGAAATACCTTCCCATTATCAAATGACCGTTTAATCAAAGCTTTCAATGACCTGCAGGTTGCTATAATTTACCCATCTTGAAGTAAGCCTCTGGTCGGATTTCCAATATCGGCAAGATATGTTTGACCTGGTTTCTGTCAGTTTCACTTTGATAGGATTCATTTACAAAATACCGACAGACTGTGTCACCCCCGTTTCCCAAACACAGACGTGACGTGTGCCGTGGCCTTTCATCATCACCTGACGGAACGGTATGCAACAACCCATACCATCTCACCTAACACCACCTACAATTTGTGTTTGTGAAATTATTAATAATATTTCAAGCTGTGCTTGTCGCAGTACAAACACAGTATATCTTTACAGGAGGCGTGTTCAGTGCTTTTGGAGTTGTCAACAAAATAGGAATACTTGCTTTGCCGCTGTCAAGAAATTGAGAATATTTGCCAACCCTCAAGGGGTGCCTTTTGACCTTGATGTCTGAGAAGCACATTTTTTCTACCTAATTTGTCTCTGAAGAAAAGGATCGTTCTCATGCACCACCTGTTAATTAGGCCTCGCTTGTTAGTACGCTATCTGTTCGTTTGGATTTAACACGGACACTTTTGATTGCCTTTAAGTGGTCGGCAGCGGGCTCTGCCTTTGTGAACGGATAGTTTAATAGGTTCTTACACGCTAGTGTCTGTGCTATCGTGATTCTTGTACTGTCTGTGTACGCTGTCGCAGGCGGCAACGGCGTTCCGACTTTATGGTCAAAGCACTGTGTGTGTACATATACCTGCGACCCACATCTACACCGACATACAAGGTAGGTACTTTAGTGGGTGGTCGTTTTGATGTAATGTCGTCGCTTTGATAAACTGAATTGTTTTATTGAGGACCTCTACTATCTATCCTGTGCTACTTAGACACATGTTAAGAAGCCAGTTTGTTTTCAATATGAGCAATTTGATAAGGCAAAGAACGCATTGATTTATTTTTCCAGGATGATATGCTGTCAACAAATATATAACATTTGTAATAATATCTCGCTATAGGTAGAAAAGTTGGACACAATGTTGTTATTTTTATGCTGTTTATTTGTTTTGGCAGGAATCCGTTGATTTACATGTGAGCTATGAAGAATCTTTTTAGTTTGTTTTTGTCCATTTCAACCAGTGGCTGTAGGGTAGCCAAGTGGTTAAAGCGTACGTTCTTCACGCCGAAGACCCGGAACATAGGTACAATGTGTGAAGCCCATTTCTGGTGCCCCCCGCCGTGATATTGCTAAAAGCGGCGTAAAACCTTCCTCACAGATTTCAACCTCACTATAGCACACACTATAACAATGGATTCGTAAAACGTTCATTAGTGGATTGTGTCCCGTTGAACAGTTAAATCTTTGTTGAATGAATACCTGCATTACATTTTAAGTAACGTGACTGCGATTAACCTCCTATTGCAGGGCTGACGCTCGTTCAGACATCTATACCATTGTGTGAGGTATAGGCTATTCTTTGACAAGAAATATACATCACGTTTGAGAACAGCTGATGTGACAGTGCATGTATTCAGCCTTCTCAGATTAACGTAACACTATATCCCAACGCGCTTTGTAAAAAAATAATTCTCCCGATCCCTCGTATAACGTGGCATTCGAAACTGTCATGTTTTTTGTTCAAAGAATTCTCTTTAACATGCAACGCGATACGGCTAAACGTACTGCCCTCTATGAACAAGCGTGTATTTTACACAGCGAGGCTGAAGGGTTGTCGTGTTAGGGTGTATATGCGTGAAGTATGTCTGTTTCTCACCTATAATCCATAATTATCCATGATATAGTTGACACCGTTTTGTGTGTACTACAACCATTTTATAGCGCCCGCCTCGGAGAACGGAAAGTCGGTGGTTCGATCCCCGACCACGTCATACAAAATATTGTACTTGTTGTTTCCCTGCCTGGCGGTCGGCATTAAAAACATAAATCAAGAACTGGTCGGCTGGAATCAGTGTACCGTGTCTGAGTATCCGTGTTAAACTGTGGTATGGTATTTCATACACGCACACACGTACATGCACATAGCTACGTAAGTGCAATAATCTTGAACGCGACGTTGAACACACTGCATCTCACCCAACTTCACCTTCATTTCATAGGCGGTTAGGGGCGGTCGGGTAGCCTAGTTGTTAAAGCGTTCGCTCGTCACGCCGAAAACCCGGGTTCGATTCCCGACATGGGTACAATGTGTGAAGCCCATTTCTGGTGTCCCCCGCCATGATATTGCTGGAATATTGCTAAAAGCGGCGTAAAACCATACTCACTCACTCATAGGCGGTTAGACTCGGGTATTTGGACAGTCAGAACCTGTGTTAATCGAATGTATCACATCCGCTCTGACTCCAGCAGTAACACGGCGGGGACACCAGAAATGGGCTTCACACATTGTACTACTGTGGGGATTCGAACCCGGTTCCCGAGCGTGACGAGCGAACGCTTTAACCTCTTGACTACCCTACCGCCCCTCATAATGTCTGGAGTTATCAACCATGCTGTTTACGTCACCGCTAACAACACAGACATGATATCTCAGTTCATACATTGCACAAGAGTGAGTGAGTTAGGTTTTTACGCCGCTGCAAATATTCTTGCAATATCACGGCGGGGATCCCTGAAATGGGTTTCACACATTGTACCCAGGTGCGGAATCCGACCATTGTGACGAGCGAACGCTTTAACCAATTAGCTTGTAGGTCCAGGACGGGAGAGCATGTCCTGGCAATCACGTTCATCCAAGATTTTAAGAATTGTCAGACATTCTACAAAATCAGAGGGGCACATGCCGTTTTCGCGGAAGCCTCGGTGGCTGAGTGGGTTAGGTCGCTGACTTTGTGCGTTAGCAATAGGTTCTAAATTTTTTACTTAGTACTAAGAAAGTTTAATCCCAAATATAACATGTTATGTACACAACATCTAGACCAGACCGATGTGAGCATGTCCTGTCCATCGGGTTAAACCAGACCCGTGAAGATCCGGGGTAGAATGGGTCTTCAGTAACCAATGCTTGCCGTAAAAGGCGATTATGCTTGTCGTAAGAGGCGACTAACGGGGACGGGTGGTCAGGCTCGCTGACTTGGTTGATGCATGTCATCGATCCCAATTGCGGGGATCAATGTTCATGATGTCAATCACTGGATTATCAGGTCCAGACACGATTATTTACAGACCGCCGTCATATAGCTGTGATATTGCCGAGTGCAGCGTTAAACAACAAACAAAACGTTAAACCACAAACGTTTACAATTGCCTGATATATTACACAAGCCCCCCATAAGCCTCATCAAGTATCCATTGTTCTTGTGACACACCAGTAGAGCCGTTTCACATGCAACAACTCGCCACCCAAGCGGAGTCTGCCTCAGCGTACACACATCTACTGTCTTCCACGTGTCAGTACACCTCCAAGCCATATTTCTCTATGCATAATGTATGGGGATTCATTATAAGGTAAACTTGCCAGTGACATGCTGTACTTTTAACTATTGATTTCGCCTCAGGTTTCTACCAGGTCGACAAGGTGGCAGCCGGACCTAGCGGTACTGACGGATCCTGTTAATTCCCTGTTCCAACCAGGTGTGATGCGTGATTCTCCACCAGACACCGGCCACCCCGAGACCCGCACAGCCTCTCGCTGTCTCCCCACCACCACCAGCCGTCCCGCACAACTCTCGCCACAGTTCAATTATCGATGACCGAATTATCAATCTGTGCTGACTTGCTTTTGATGCAGGTAGTGTTTCCGAGTATCTGCCAGGAAGCCAGTCCTCCGCACCACAACAGTAAATAATTATGAACTGTGTTAATCATCAAGCTCTATGTTTAGTCATCAAAAACCTTGCTCCTGTTTGACGGAAAATCAATGACAGTGACTTTGCCATGTTTAGCTGTTGTTGTGTTTGATCATCCAGAGAACGTGCTCAGTGAATCAGCAAGTGTCAGCGCTTGTTTCTACATGCTGCGGGAATATTTGTTTAAATCAGAACCTTGCTATATGCCATGACTGTGTCTAGCTTGGTTTTAAACAGTTACTGAAACGCGCTACCCCGGTTTACCATCCACGCCAATTTCTCCATCATGACCCGTCGCAGGAACCTCCGGAAACCCAACCTGGAGGCCATGCGCGCCGCGGTAGCGTCTGGGGGCAAGCAAGTCTTGAGGCCCCTGTCTCCCGGAGAGTCTCCTCCCCCCGGGGGTCAGGTGTACACCCTGAGGCGAGAGGACCCCCTCCAAGATGCCCTGTTCCCAAGATGGAGCCCTATATTTGTGGCGGTCGTGACGCTCGTTATACGGGTAGTGTACGTGTGCCAGAAGAGGAACTGGTGGGTGCTCCATCCGGATGAAGTGTTTCAGGGACTGGAAGGTGAGCTATATCAAAGGAGAGGTGGGTGTGGATGCGGGCGTGGGTGAGGGTGAAGGTGTGGGTTTGGTGTGTGGGTGTGGGTTTTGGTGAGTTGCACACGGGCCACCTAAAAGTAAAGTGGTCTATTTTAGTAAATTTGATGGATGCAAACTACCTGAATTATAATCTCCCACTAACGTTACAGGATTTAGTAGGGTTTTACAACTTGGAATTCTATACATTTTAACAATGATTGCTAACAATAGTATTCGTTTCATTCACTCTTTGTCCTCCAGAAAACATTGACCTGTAACTTAAAACCACTAGACCTTTTCCCGGGCTTTTCGCCAGCTTCATAATTAACTTTTTATGGCAATGACACGCACGTGAACATGTTTATAATAAGTTGGCCTCATTCGTTTTTAATCGGTTGGTATTTATTCTAAAGAGGACGTAAGAGATCTCAAATTCCACGCGCATGAGTTCGCATGTTGCTACAGAGACACAGGGCTATGTGGATGCACGTCTCCTCGTCTGGTGTAGCAGTACCTGAAGATCGGCCGTCAGGAATCAATACCTTGACAGATGCCATTAATTCTTCATCCATCACGGGGCCTGTTCAAGCCTGTAGTTGGATCTGAATATCTAAAAATATCTAAGAAATATTGCCTGCTTTCCTTTTCACATTTCAGTAGTTTTGGGATCGCACTTTTAGAGTAACAGTTACTGCCACTATCAATACATTCGTGACCAACTCGTGTTATTCCGGGACAAGCTTGCAGGTTACGGAAAGGGGCGAGTGGTGACGAATGACTATCAATACTGATGCTTCTGTTAATGGTCGTGGCGGTTCCGGGTTGGAACTGGCCTCCTGCAACTTATGATTGAAGGTGGCAACGTAATGGATCAGACTCGGTGACATGGTTGATGTAGTTGATTGTGTGTCAACGTGCCCGACGGCCTGGATCGTTGCTCACAATATCAATCACTGGATTGTCTGGTCCAGGCTAGATTATTTACAGGCCATCGTCATATAGCTGGAATATTTGTGAGAGCGGCGTTAAACACTAAACAAAGCTAATATTCCTGATGTGTTACAAACGTGATAGGTTGGATAATCGACTGAATCGTTGGATTAGTTCAGTCCTGTATTTCCGGCTACTTTAAATAATCCGATGTATGTATATCCTTGACTAGAAGTGGCGTTCAAACCCATATCATGCACCAAGTCTAGCTGTTTTGTTTGTTTGTTTGTTTAACGCCGACTCAGCTATATGACGGCGGTCTGTAAATAATTGAGTCTGGACAGGACAACCCAGTGATTGATATCATGAGCATCGATCCACGCAATTCGGATCGATGACATGCATCAACCAAGTCTAGCTGTAATGGTGCGAGACTCCCTAGAGGATCTCAGGTATCAATATAGTAGTAGAATACTCTTTCAGATTTAAATGGCGTCGTGGGGAATCCGGGTTAGAATAGGACCCTAGCATATATGCTTGTCGTAGGAGGCGACCAAAGGGATCGGGTGGACAGGCTCGGTGTATTGGTTGTTTGCATATCATAGCATGTCATAGCATATTAACTCTATCCATATGATATAAGCGGTTCCTGTTTGACATCTTTTTAGTAGAATATAATAACTCAACCGACGTATGGGTAAATATTACATGTACCATGAAGAGTTCCCGCGAACCCAACCTCGTCATCTATTGAAAATAATTCATTTGACTCAAAAAGTCGAATATATACCACTCTGTAAACAAAGAGTGTATATGGGTGTTTAACTTTTGGTTGATTCTATATTAACTCCCTTGAATAACATCAATAAATAGAGTATATTTTTGTAGCGTGTTTACTTATCGTCAATATCATATATTAGAAATATATAGTGTATCATACGAGCTTTCTCATCTCTGCCCTTACTCACAGAACTTGAGCGAATATGTTTCAATGAGACGTTGCCATACCGCCCACCCCTAACACTCTCTCACGGCAGCCAGCCGCCGCCCCCACCCCCCTACTCCGCAGTGTGTCAATGTTACTTCCTAAGACCCGTGTGTTAATGGGGGCTATTTATATTGTCGATGTGTTCCTGTGAGAATATTACACCTACTAAACTTCAGAAGGACGGGACATATTGACATGATGCACTTGAATGCTGTGTTACGGGTGAGTTCTCAGGGAAACATCGTGAGGTGTTTAACCTGCTGTGGGTGATATACCATGACGTCAGAATGCGATAGGGTGTATCGTATTACCTCGGTATAACGCCCGGACTCGAATAAACGCCGGGGTCTCGATTAAACGCCGAGCCTCGATTAAACGCCGGGTTGTTTATATTCACGGAATTCTCCCCATAACAATCACTGCAATTAAACGCCAGGGGTAAAGAGTGTCTGAAAGAAATATACACCAGGGCGTTTAATCGAGGAAATAGGGTACCGACACTGATTCAGCAAAGCGTATAATAACACGGATACAGTTGTGGGGAAGCAATTATCTGAAGGATACTGTTGCCTATATATACTCTATACACAACGATTTATATCGATCAGGTCAACAACTGATAATTCTATTCTTAGAAAACGATCAATGTTCCTTTATCATGCTATGTTAATTAGAACATGAAACATATTTATGGGCGGCCATTCGGTCAAAAAATACAAAGTTGAAAAAAAGGACAAAAGTACGCAATCAAGGTCTAATATTACGAATAAAGAACTAAATGTTACTACTAAATGTCAAAATACGTCAGACGGTGAGTGCACGAGGAATGACGTAATACATTGTGCACCTCGGCATACAGTTATCATATACACGGCGGAACAAGCCGATTAAACTCAGAATGTTGTACAAATTGCAGCGCCATCTAGCGTTCTTTATTGTCAACGTCCTTTCGTTCTCACTGACGTTCTTTATTGAAAACGTCCTTTCGTGCTCACTGACGTTCTTTCGTACACATTGTTCTTTCTTTTCTTATGACGTCTTTTCGTTTGACTATTAATATTGTATTTTGACCTTTGGTAGTAACATTTAATTCTTTATCCGTAATATTTGACCTTAATTGCGTACTTTTGTCCTTTTTTTCAACTTTGTATTTTTTGACCGAATGACCGCCCATACATATTTGCAACCACTCCCCAAAATAGAATTGTACTATTGGCATGTGGCCTTTCAGTGTGGAATTTTTTTTATCTTAACTCATAACTACTCAATGAGAAGGATATAATTATTATTATTATTCAACCTGTGAAGATCCGGGTTAGAATAGGTCTTCAGCCAACTATGCTTGTCGTAGGAGGCGACTAACGCTCGCTGACTTGGTCGGTGAATCATTCTTAACGTCTTTTGGTATGACGCGGCCGGGGATCGAACCCCCTGGTATGTAGGACGAGATGGTAAGGTGACTGTTTACATACTAGCGCCTGACAAGGCAGTTTGGATTGTATACTCCTCGGGGAATTGAGAATGAAAATTAACCGGGGTCATAATGAGCACGCACCGTGTGGAGGCTAGCGCAATATAGGTCCACATTATTATTAACATTCATATGTACGAGTATGAACCTATGTGACCTCGATAAAGGGCGATAGATATGTACATAAGTACAGTGTCATTACCTATATGTACATATACCTCTATATTCAATCTGCACGGGCCATCGCACACGTGTATATACAGACCGATACAGCACAACACGCCGGGGTCCTAGTGCAGCATGCTTATCGTTTGAGGCGTCTACAGTGAGTATCTGATGGACAAGATTCCATGTATACCACGGCGGTCTGTAAATAATTGACATCATGCGCATCGATCTACGCAATTGGGATACGAAGAGATGTTTTTGTTTAGCGCCGCACTCTGCGATATTCCAGCTATATGAATTGAATGCAAGCTGTAAGTAATCGACCACGCAGTCCTGTGACTGAGATCATGAGCATCAATGTACGCAGTTGGGATACGATGACATGCACCAACCAAGTCAGCGAGCCTGACCACCCGATCCCGATAGTTGCCTCTTACAAGCGTGGGTTGCTGAAGACAAAATCTAACCCGGATCTTCGGGATCTCGTTGTGTCACCGTACCTTGGCTGTTCTAGCCAACATCCACGGATTCATGTGGTCCATAATATATTCTTGCAATAAAATTAAAATTTCTTTTCTTTTTTTCCGCACTTTAATATTATAATCGATATTTAATGTGAATATTAGCAACATTATTGCCCAATGTGATTTAGCGATGCACGGTGTGACAATGTAGGTAACAAACACACACACGTGCATGCACGTCGCAATATAAGTGCAATAATCTTGAACGTGACGTTAAACCCCATTTCACCTCGTCTCACCTTTTTTAGTTCAATTCAAGGGGGCACGGGTGGCCCAGTCGTCTTAATAAGCCCCGTTTACACGACCACGTTTACTTATATAAGTAAATATACTTACGTAAGTATATATACTCACATAAGTAGAAGTGGTCGTGTAAACGCATTTGCTTACGTAAGCAAATATACTCCAGGAGTAATTTACTTCACCTCAAGAGGTCGTGCAAAAGTATATTTACTTATAAGCAAATATACACCAGGAGTGAATATGCTTATGTGAGTAACATTTGGCCGTATAAACAGGGCTAAAAAAGGCGCCGCGATTCGTTGTGCAGATTAGCGTCCCTTAGGCACGCCAGAAAGCTATCACTATGGGTTCGAATCCCTGTTCGCCCCGATTATGTTTCTAGGTTTGTCAGCACAATACCCGTGCTCGTGGGTTTCACCGAAGTGGTAAACGTCCGAGCCCTGCATCACGTCGGGCTTTCCTCCCACATTAAGCTGACACGCCGTGATATAACTGGAATACTGTTAAAAGCGGCGTTAAACCCAACTCACTCACAAATTCAATTCAAAGAAGTGCAAGTATTTGAAGCACCGTAAAATATCACATGTTTACTCTAATCCACTACCAACATGTAAAAAAAAGTATAATCTTGATTGCGTCGCGCTTGAAAGATGCCTTTGCCGACAGGTCACTTCTGACTGTTCTGACGTGGAACCGTTAACGTTACTACGTTACTACGATGTGTTCATACACAAACAATAAATAACATCAAGTAAATCAACTGTGTGATCAGCAGCATCAATAAGATTGACAGAAATTTTGGTCCACAGAAATAAATCGGCCTACTTTAAAGTGACAAAATCAGGAATGACACCCTATACTCGTGTGTGGTGCTCCAGGGTGCGGCGCGTGCAGACTATTGGATGTGTTTCGGAGTCAAGTTTCAGAGACATAAACGTTCTTGCATAGGATGTTTGTCGTCAACACTTATCTTTGTTCTGATGCTTGGTATCAACATTTAATTTCCACGATCCCCGACATTTTTTAAGAGTATATTTTAGAAAATATCACAAGACATGACTATGTTCTGCGATGATAGTTTGATGGTCTTCAATACATATTAATTTCTTAATTACACGCGTTCTTTCTAAACATAAAAAATACAAAAAATATTCTGATTAAAATATATGCTTGTCGTCAGAGGAGCTTAGCGGAATCAGGTGGTCAGGCTCGCTGACTTGGTTGATGCATGTCATTGTATTCCAGTTACGTGGAGATGTTCATCATGTCAATCACTGGATGGTCCGGACTGGATTATTTACAGACCGCTGTCATATAGCTGTAATATTGCTGAGTGCGGCGTTAAACAACAAACAAAGCAAAAAAAATCGATTGAAATATATGCAGCCCACGTCGCAACAATGAAGCTGTTATATTTTGGTGATGGGAGACAGATGGAGTTAATAACTTTGTATTTACGTGACGCTAAAATAATTCACCTGGCATTCAAAAGTTGCATCTGAAAGAAAGGATATCAAGATGAAGGGATGAATTAGATTAGACTGAGTATGGTTTTACGCCGCTTTTAGCAATATTCCAGCAATATCACGACAGGGGACACCAGAAATGGGCTTCTTACATTGTACCCATGTGGGGGATCTAACGCGGGTTTTCGGCGTGACGAGCAAACGCTTTGACCTCTTGGCTACTCCACAGCTCCCAATTAGATTAAGAATGAAAAAAACCACCAGATAATTATAATCGGTTAACATTACGGCTTACTTGAGAGCTTACTCAGGCCATTTATGTACTTCCTGTGGCGATATTCCAGGAAAGTCCCTTAAAAAAGAACAAAAACACTGAATAGGATGTCTTCATCTGTCGAAATGAAGCGTAAAGCGTAGAGACCCAACATTGTCATTCGCGTGTAGATTCTAAACATGTCTGGACTAAAAACATGTTTAGATCCTAAACATGTCTCAAACCTGACACAATGCTAACATGTTTAAGCTAAACACATTTTGTACATTGTACGATCAGTACAGGTTGGGGGCCTACATCCTAACTGGAGCCCCCCGGGGTTCCCAAGTTAGACAACTCTCACACCGTGTCCCTGTGGAAATCTGCACACCAAGTTGATCTGTACGTAACTGAGACTGTCGTATGTTGCAGTGGCCCACTCCGAGGTGTACGGCTACGGCTTTCGGATGTACGAGTACCTGCCTCCCCCAGACAGCGTGATGACGTCAGCGGAGGACCAGGAGAACACCCTCGGCTTCTACAGCCTTCGCTCCTTCCTCTACCCACACATCTACACCATCTGCTTCGCCATCGTCGGCCTCTTCAACCCCAACCTCAACCTTTTCCTGGTAGGTATTCATCACAGAGACGATGACGTAGTGCAAAGCCTAAGTTGAAGTTTATGACACGGTCATATGTTTACTGTTCTCACAACAAGTTATGTGTTTTCTGTTCTTCCAGCAGTTTATGTGTTTACTGTTCTTCGAGCAGATTATGTGTTTACTGTTGTTCCAGAAAGTTTATGTGTTTACTGTTCATCCAGAAACTTATGTGTTTACTGTTCTTCCAGCAGTTTATGTGTTTACTGTTCTTCCAGCAGTTTATGTGTTTACTGTTCATCCAGCAGTTTATGTGTTTACTGTTCTTCCAGCAGTTTATGTGTTTACTGTTCTTCCAGCAGTTTATGTGTTTACTGTTCATCCAGAAACTTATGTGTTTACTGTTCTTCAAGCAACTTATGTGTTTACTGTTCATCCAGCAGTTTATGTGTTTACTGTTCTTCCAGCAGTTTATGTGTTTACTGTTCTTCCAGCAGTTTATGTGTTTACTGTTCTTCCAGCAGTTAATGTGTTTACTGTTCATCCAGAAACTTATGTGTTGACTGTTCTTCCAGCAGTTTATGTGTTAACTGTTCTTCCAGCAGTTTATGTGTTTACTGTTCATCCAGAAAGTTATGTGTTTACTGTTCTTCCAGCAGCTTATGTGTTTACTGTTCTTCCAGCAACTTATGTGTTTGCTGTTCTTCCAGCAGTTTATGTGTTTATTGTTCATCCAGAAACTTATGTGTTTACTGTTCTTCCAGCAACTTATGTGTTTACTGTTCTTCCAGCAGTTTATGTGTTTACTGTTCTTCCAGCAGTTTATGTGTTTACTGTTCAACCAGAAACTTATGTGTTTACTGTTATTCCAGCAGTTTATGTGTTTACTGTTCTTCCAGCAACTTATGTGTTTACTGTTATTCCAGCAGTTCATATGTTTACTGTTCTTCCAGCAACTTATGTGTTTACTGTTCTTCCAGCAACTTATGTGTTTACTGTTCTTCCAGCAACTTATGTGTTTACTGTTCTTCCAGCAGTTTATGTGTTTACTGTTCTTCCAGCAACTTATGTGTTTACTGTTCAACCAGCAACTTATGTGTTTACTGTTCTTCCAGCAACTTATGTGTTTACTGTTCTTCCAGCAGTTTATGTGTTTACTGTTCTTCCAGCAGTTTATGTGTTTACTGTTCAACCAGAAACTTATGTGTTTACTGTTATTCCAGCAGTTTATGTGTTTACTGTTCTTCCAGCAACTTATGTGTTTACTGTTCTTCCAGCAGTTTATGTGTTTACTGTTCTTCCAGCAACTTATGTGTTTACTGTTCAACCAGCAACTTATGTGTTTACTGTTCTTCCAGCAGTTTATGTGTTTACTGTTCTTCCAGCAACTTATGTGTTTACTGTTCAACCAGCAACTTATGTGTTTACTGTTCTTCCAGCAACTTATGTGTTTACTGTTCTTCCAGCAGTTTATGTGTTTACTGTTCTTCCAGCAGTTTATGTGTTTACTGTTCAACCAGAATCTTATGTGTTTACTGTTATTCCAGCAGTTTATGTGTTTACTGTTCTTCCAGCAACTTATGTGTTTACTGTTCTTCCAGCAACTTACATGTTTACTGGTGTTTCAGCAAGTTCTGTTTACCTTGTTCCAGCAAGTTCTATGTTTACCTTGTTCCAGCAAGTTCTATGTTTACTGTTCTTCCAGCAAGTTCTGTTTACCTTGTTCCAGCAAGTTCTATGTTTACCTTGTTCCAGCAAGTTCTATGTTTACCTTGTTCCAGCAGGTTCTAGGCGAATGTTTCATTATTGAAAATGTTAGTCCCAAATGTAGTTATTCGCAGAATAAAACATACAGTTTACAAATGTATGTGTACTGACCTTGAGATGGTTTTACTGAGCAGTTTCAATGATCCCCCGTAGAACATGACCTGTACAACTGACCCATCGACGTGCTGTGTGTTTGTTATGATTTTATACACTGATGTGATGTTTTTTGCAGGTGGGTCGACTCATCCACGTGGTCGTGTCGTCCTCCCTGCCTCTCGCCGTCTACCGTCTGTGTGATGTCATCTACGGCAGCCATGACGTCGCCGTCCTCGCAGCCGTCTTCGTCTCCAGCTCCCTGCATCTCACCATCTTCGGCACACACACCCTCATCAACAGCTTCCTCTCTCCAATCTTCATGTTCTGCTTAGCAGTGGTTCTCTCTGCTATCAAACTGTCGCCATCAGTTACCGCCAAACCCGTCCCAGACATCCAAAATGGCGGAAATCCCCGACGGGACACACCTGCCGAGGACGACACACCTGGTGTGAAGGACGCTGGTGTTAAAGGCAAACCGGTGGTTTACCTGAAGGTGGAAGCTCGAAGACTCAAATATGCCAGTTGTGGGTTTATTCTTGGAATGCTGTGTTACCTGCGTCTTGACCTCGCTATGTTCCTAGTTGTGTCAGTGACTGGCTGGCTTATTGTTTGTGTGCGAGGGAAGGATCACCAGAAGGTGGTGGTGTCCTCCCTCCTGACAGTGACCCTTGGTGCATTCTGTGCAATATTACTCGGCGGCTGTGTCGATTTTGTGTACTTCGGGTGGTTCTTTTTATCCCCATACCAGTGGATTAACTTCAACGTCTTGAATGGCCTCTCTAACAGAGTTTTCGGGAAAGGATACTTTGAAGATTATCTCAAGAATCTAAATGCAGTGCCATCAGCGGTGTTCCTCAATCTGTGCACACTGGGAATTATTCCAGTGTTGTGCTGGTCACATCACAAAAAGATCGTTAAGTTCCGCAGCCCTGTGTTATTTCTGGTTGGCACCCTGGTGATGCTTTTCACCGCCTACAGCTTTCAGAGTCATAAGGAAACCCGAATTCTCCACAACGTGTTTGTGCTACAGGCCATGGTCTGGGCGGGCGCCGTGCAGTCATCACTTGCTGCCCTGGGATCCGGGAGAGCGCTGCCCCTTCGTAGAATCTCCTATGTCCTGGTGACATGTGTGGTGATCTTACAGGCAAATGACTGCTACAAAAATTTTCCTAGCTCATCCGACAAATCAAACGCAAACTGGGCCTTCAACGGCCATTGGGATTCTGGTTCTGTAAACGAATGTCTTGACTACGTGAGACAACAGAATGACGTCACCGGTTTGTTCCTTGACTACACTGTCTATGGAATGGGGGGATTTTCCGTCTTACGTAAAGACGTCCCCCTTATCGCTCGAGTTCATCACGAATATCACGAATTCGACCCCAAGTACCTACCAAACTACAGACAAAATATTGACCCGAAATTGAGATTGATGAATAGACTTACAGACATTATGCATGTAAAACACAGTAGATACATACTCGGGAGACTTGTCAACAGCACCCAATACAACTACATCATCACGAAGAACGTCCGGCGATTCCGTCCTCTCGCCTTCACGAATGTATACAACTCAACGGACTTCAGAGTGCTGAAATTCTTGCCTCGCAATCCGAACGCGACGATCGTCAGCAGACTCAGGCTGATCAAGGATCTCCAGTCATTTCCCTTCGATGGCGATGCTTCTATCCTAGAATTTGAAGGATCCTGGTTGTTTTCTGTGGGAAGTTATAAGAAGGCGGTTGACCGTCTCCGCGCCGCCATCATCGTCAACGCCAGCCGTATCCGGCCGTTCCAGCTGATGAGTCTGTCGTACAGCAACATGGACATGCTGCAGGAGGCTGCGGATGCTGAGCAGCAGTGCTTTGCCCTGCACTCCTTCGGCAAATGTATTCAACCCCAGCCGCGCATAGTGCTCAGCCCAGACTACAACTTGGATATCTGAAAGGACAAGCTGTCGTGTCAGTCACAACATAGATATCTGAAAGGACAAGAAACTTGGACATCTGGAAGGACAAGCTGGTGTTTCAGTCACAACATAGATATCTGAAAGGACAAGCTGGTGTTTCAGTCACATCTTGTACATCTGGAAGGACAAGCTGGTGTTTCAGTCACATCTTGTACATCTGGAAGGACAAGCTGGTGTTTCAGTCACAACTTGGACATCTGGAAGGACAAGCTGGTGTTTCAGTCACAACTTGTACATCTGGAAGGACAAGCTGGTGTTTCAGTCACAACTTGGACATTTGAAATATGAAGCTGTTGTTTCAGTCACAACTTGGACATATGAAAGGACAAGCTTGTGTTTCAGTCACAACTTGGACATTTGAAATATGAAGCTTGTGTTTCAGTCACAGCTTGGACATTTGAAAGGACAAGCTTGTGTTTCAGTCACAACTTGGACATTTGAAATATGAAGCTTGTATTTCAGTCACAACTTGGACATTTGAAATATGAAGCTTGTGTTTCAGTCACAACTTGGACATCTGAAAGGACAAGTTGGTCTTTCAGTCACAACTTGGACATTTGAAATATGAAGCTTGTGTTTCAGTCACAACTTGGACATTTAAAATATGAAGCTTGTGTTTCAGTCACAATTTGGACATTTGAAATATGAAGCTTGTGTTTCAGTCACAACTTGGACATTTGAAATATGAAGCTGTTGTTTCAGTCACAACTTGGACATATGAAAGGACAAGCTTGTGTTTCAGTAACAGCTTGGACATTTGAAATATGAAGCTTGTGTTTCAGTCACAACTTGGACATTTGAAATGACAAGCTTGTGTTTCAGTCACAACTTGGACATTTGAAAGGACAAGTTTGTTTTTCAGTCACAACTTGGACATTTGAAAGGACAAGCTTGTGTTTCAGTCACAACTTGGACATCTGGAAGGACAAGCTGGTGTTTCAGTCACAACTTGGTAAACTGGAAGGACAATTCAATCTTGTGTTTCAGTCACAGCTTGGACATTTGAAATATGAAGCTTGTGTTCCAGTCACAACTTGGACATTTGGAAGGACAAGCTGGTCTTTCAGTCACAACTTGGATATCTGGAAGGACAAGATGGTCTTTCAGTCACAACTTGGACCTCTGAAAGGACAAGCTGGTGTTTCAGTCACATCTTGGACATCTGGAAGGGCAAGCTGGTGTTTCAGTCACAACATAGATATCTGAAAGGACAAGAAACTTGGACATTTGGAAGGACAAGCTGATCTTTCAGTCACAACTTGGACATCTGGAAGGACAAGCTGGTGTTTCAGTCAAAACTTAGACATCTGGAAGGGCAAGCTGGTGTTTCAGTCACAACATAAATATCGGAAAGGACAAGCTGGTGTTTCAGTCACAACATGGACATCTGAAAGGGCAAGCTGGTGTTTCAGTCACAACATGGACATCTGAAAGGGCAAGCTGGTGTTTCAGTCACAACATAGATATCTGAAAGGACAAGCTGGTGTTTCAGTCACAACATGGACATCTGGAAGGGCAAGCTGGTGTTTCAGTCACAACTTGGACATCTGAAAGGGCAAGCTGGTGTTTCAGTCACAACATAGATATCTGAAAGGACAAGCTGGTGTTTCAGTCACAACATGGACATCTGGAAGGGCAAGCTGGTGTTTCAGTCACAACTTGGACATCTGAAAGGGCAAGCTGGTGTTTCAGTCACAACATGGAAATCTGAAAGGGCAAGCTGGTGCTTCAGTCACAACATAGATATCTGGAAGGGCAAGCTGGTGTTTCAGTCACAACATGGACATCTGAAAGGGCAAGCTGGTGTTTCAGTCACAACATAGATATCTGAAAGGACAAGCTGGTGTTTCAGTCACAACATGGACATCTGAAAGGGCAAGCTGGTGTTTCAGTCACAACATAGATATCTGAAAGGACAAGCTGGTGTTTCAGTCACAACATGGAAATCTGAAAGGGCAAGCTGGTGCTTCAGTCACAACATAGATATCTGAAAGGACAAGCTGGTGTTTCAGTCACAACATGGACATCTGGAAGGGCAAGCTGGTGTTTCAGTCACAACTTGGACAAGTGACTCATGAAGCTGGTGTTTCAGCCACAACCACAGGGCAACGGATAGCCATACTATACTGACTGTACTGATTACATTTTTTATGTAATCAGTACAGTCAGTATAGTATGGCTATCCGTGGCCCTGTGGCAACAACGATGTTTATATTGAAGCTGTCGCTGAACAGGAACGTTATAACAAAAGCGTGTTTAGCAGCGATAGCAGTACAAAACAGCGGTGCATCCGCATTGTTCCACGCAACCTTTGCACCACAAATGCCGTGATTCCTCTACTTCAACTCATGCACTACTAAACTCGCTCCTGTGTTTTAAACGAGTGAATAGTTCTGGGTTTACACGGGTGCGTGTTTAATATTATTTTTTATTTATTACTTGCCATTCTAACTTTTTTTAAAATCACTGTCATGTGTGAATAGGCAGACATCTACGCGATCAACAGCGTATTCCAATTGACTTTAAATGAATGCTACTTCAAACACGTCAAAGGTTGACACGTATTAATGTAACACTATACATCGGATCACCTTTAGAATTCAAGGATCAGTTCCACAAAGGTATCTTAGCGCTAAGGTTGTGTGTGTGTGTGTGTGTGTGTGTGTGTGTGTGTGTGTGTGTGTGTGTGTGTGTGTGTGTCCGTCCGTAAAAACATTTTCACCTTGTTTGGAAAGACATTGTAACCGGAATTCTGGCTGAGCAGACGACGCACTAAGGGACGTAACTCTAATTTCTTACCACCCGGGTTGATATCGATCGCCCATTCAAAATGTATGAATAGGCCATACCAGCTCGGCAGGGCTGTAACAGGGGTCTGGTTATTACACCCCCAGTTGATAATAGCTCGATCGCAAATGCAAAATACCTCATATCATCGATGGGTATATGATACACAGATATATTATATGCCAGTACTCGTTGTATCTACTGACAGTAACTCTAAATGGCAATGTCCACACTAAAGCACCAACTATTTGTCAATACAAATATTGACATGAAGCAGACGATCCAAAACCATTCAAATCTGTCAGTTTCGATTCCAGATATGGGCACAGGTGGCCAAGTCGTCTAGGGCGCTGCTATTGGCTGTACGGAGTTGCGTCCCTTGGGCACGCCAAAAACCTGTGAACGTTTGAATCCCGATTCGCCCCAATTATGTTTCTAGGTTTGTCAGCACCATACCCGTGCTCGTGGGTTTCGCCGAAGCAAACGTCTGAGAGCTGCATCACTTCGGGCTTTCCTCCCACGTTAAGCTGACACGCCGCGATATAACTGGAATACCGTCTAAAGCGGCGTTAAACCCAACTCACTCACTCACTCAAATCCGGAGAAGTCCGTATCACAATAGACGTAGATCGAATCTTGGACCGTTTGGACACTCCAAACATTGGCGGACACTCCAAACATAGAAGGGGAGCTTTCTCTTGCAGTGATCGACCCGATATCAAATTAGACGTTATTTCCTTGTATTTATTGTAGAATATAAAGACTTATTCATCGTTGGTGTAAACTGCCAGGCAAAAGAAAATATACACTTGAAATTAGATTTGACCAAACCATTACAAACGTTATCCAAACGTTACTAGCCTGAAAACAGTTGCCGACACACTGCAAACATAAGTCGAAAACACAACTATGATACCCGTATGAAATACGTCATCATTGAACAGCCATTTCTTTTGTTACATTTCTAGACAAAAACATGGGTATATATTTTTTTTGGCCCGGCAGTTTAGCTGACCGACAGTGAACTCACAACATGGCTTGCTGAGAATCAGACGTGGGGGGAGTATATACAGTCGTATTAGTACCCTTGTTATTATATGTTATTATATGTTATTCATTCAACTTACGAAAGTTCGTTTGTATGTCACAAAGCCGTCCATCGAAAATATATGCGTTCCGTCCACAGGAGTGAAAAGCGTGATTTCGTGATAAACACTCTCCTGAATACTCATGTCTTCATGTTTTCTTTTCACAGCCTTCATACACATGAGTGAGTGAGTGAGTGAGTGAGTGAGTGAGTATGGTTTTACGCCGCTTTTAACAATATTCCAGCAATATCACGGCGGGGGACACCAGAAATGGGCTTCACACATTGTACCCATGTCGAGAATCGAACCCGGACCTTAGGCGTGACAAGCGAAACGCTTTAACCACAAGGCTACCTGACCGCCCCTCATACACATAGAAGACTTTGCTAGTTGTTTTAGGCGCATTCAGCAATATTCAAGCCATATGACGGCGATCTGTAAATAATCTGGGCCAGTCAATCCAATGGTTGACATCATGAGCATCGATGTACACAATTGGGATTTTGTAATATTTTGTATTTTCAACTGCAGCTGCAAAACCAAGTATTATTTGATTAAAATTAATAAATCTTTTAAAATAACACCCTGTATCAATGCATCATTCTAAAGCATAACTATTATTTTCAAGCATATTCTGGGACGATTATTTCCGATAAAATCCCAGCCTCTTTTCCCACCCCATGAAATATATACGTCTAAACCAGACTCAACACCACCTCACGCACTAACGCTTTGAATTCACGACTAAGATCTTACATCTCACATCTTAGATCTTACATCTCATATCTTACATCTCACGTCTCACATCTTCCATTTTAGATCTTACATCTCATATCTTACAGCTCACATCTCACATCTTACATCTCATATCTCGCACCTCAAACGCATTGGCTGATGGCGTACCCAGAACTCTTCAAGATATATTTATCACCTGTACATGTACATGTGTTTCGGTAAGTCCCGGCAACTCTCATTAACGAAACTTGCGATTACCCATCCAACCACTATCCGCCGACAACGATGTGTACGTTTGCCTAACCTGTGACCTGGAGGTTACACACTGGACCACTTTGTGTATGTTGATGACAACTTTCTGGTGCTACATTGCGGGAAGCCCTCGTAAAATATTGATATTGTTTAACAATATGCAACACCCTGTTTGTTGTCTATTTGACGTGTTTAGGGGCTTTAATGCTTGGCGGGGCGGTGGGGTAGCCTACTGGTTAAAACGTTCGCTCGTCACGCCGAAGAGCCTGGTTCGATTCCCGACATGGGTACAATGTGTGAAACCCATTTCTGGTGTCCCCCGTCGTGATATTGCTGGAATATTGCTAAAAGCGGCGTAAACCCATTCTCACTCACTCTCTCTTATGCTTGGCATGTATGGACGCTCCTTGTTTGGCGTGTGTGGGAGCTCTTATGTGTGGCATGTGTGGGAGCTCTTATGTTTGGCATGTGAGGAAGCTCATATGTTTGGCATGTGTGGAAGCTCTTCTGTTTGGCATGAGTGGGAGTTCTTATGTGTGGCATGTGTGGGAGCTCTTATGTTTGGTATCTGAAGGGGCCCGTATGTTCGGCATATGTTGGAGCTCTTATGTTTGGCATGTGTGGAAGCTCTTATGTTTGGCATGTGTGGAAGCTCTTATGTTTGGCATGAGTGGGAGTTCTTATGTATGGCACGTGTGGGAACTCTTATGTTTGGCATGAGTGGGAGGTCTTATGTTTGGCATGTGTGGGAGCTTTTATGTTTGGCATGTGTGGGAGTTTCTACGTTTGCCATGTGTGGGAGCACTTATGTTTGGCATGTGTGGGAGCTCATGTGTTTGGCATGTTTCGAAGCTCTTATGTTTGGTATGTGTTGGAGCTCTAATGTTTGGCATGTGTTGGAGCTGTTATGTTTGGCATGTGTGGGAGCTTTTATGTTTGGCATGTGTGGGAATTTCTACGTTTGCCATGTGTGGGAGCACTTATGTTTAGCATGTGTGGGAGCTCTGGTAAAGTCTATAAGGCAACCTGCTGGTAAGGTGCACCAGGTAAAGTCTATAAGGCAACCTGCTGGTAAGGTGCATCAGGCAAAGTCTATAAGATAACCTGCTGGTAAGGTGCACCAGGTAAAGTCTATAAGGTAACCTGCTGGTAAGCTGCACCAGGTAAAGTCTATAAGGCAACCTGCTGGTAAAGTGCACCAGGCAAAGTCTATAAGGCAACCTGCTGGTAAGGTGCACCAGGTAAAGTCTATAAGGCAACCTGCTGGTTAGGTGCATCAGGCAAAGTCTATGAGGCAACCTGCTGGTAAGGTGCATCAGGTAAAGTCTATAAGGCAACCTGCTGGTAAAGTGCACCAGGCAAAGTCTATAAGGGATCCTGCTGGTAAAGTGCACCAGGTAAAGTCTATAAGGGATCCTGCTGGTAAGGTGCACCAGGTAAAGTCTATAAGGGATCCTGCTGGTAAGGTGCACCAGGTAAAGTCTATAAGGGATCCTGCTGGTAAGGTGCACCAGGTAAAGTCTATAAGGGATCCTGCTGGTAAGGTGCACCAGGCAAAGTCTATAAGGGATCCTGCTGGTAAGGTGCACCAGGTAAAGTCTATAAGGGATCCTGCTGGTAAGGTGCACCAGGTAAAGTCTATAAGGGATCCTGCTGGTAAGGTGCACCAGGCAAAGTCTATAAGGGATCCTGCTGGTAAGGTGCACCAGGTAAAGTCTATAAGGGATCCTGCTGGTAAGGTGCACCAGGTAAAGTCTATAAGGGATCCTGCTGGTAAGGTGCACCAGGTAAAGTCTATAAGGGATCCTGCTGGTAAGGTGCACCAGGTAAAGTCTATAAGGGATCCTGCTGGTAAGATGCACCAGGTAAAGTCTATAAGGGATCCTGCTGGTAAGGTGCACCAGGCAAAGTCTATAAGGGATCCTGCTGGTAAGGTGCACCAGGTAAAGTCTATAAGGGATCCTGCTGGTAAGGTGCACCAGGCAAAGTCTATAAGGGATCCTGCTGGTAAGGTGCACCAGGTAAAGTCCATAAGGGATCCTGCTGGTAAGGTGCACCAGGCAAAGTCTATAAGGGATCCTGCTGGTAAGGTGCACCAGGTAAAGTCTATAAGGGATCCTGCTGGTAAGGTGCACCAGGTAAAGTCTATAAGGGATCCTGCTGGTAAGGTGCACCAGGCAAAGTCTATAAGGGATCCTGCTGGTAAAGTGCACCAGGTAAAGTCTATAAGGGATCCTGCTGGTAAGGTGCACCAGGTAAAGTCTATAAGGGATCCTGCTGGTAAGGTGCACCAGGTAAAGTCTATAAGGGATCCTGCTGGTAAAGTGCACCAGGTAAAGTCTATAAGGGATCCTGCTGGTAAGGTGCACCAGGTAAAGTCTATAAGGGATCCTGCTGGTAAGGTGCACCAGGCAAAGTCTATAAGGGATCCTGCTGGTAAGGTGCACCAGGTAAAGTCTATAAGGGATCCTGCTGGTAAGGTGCACCAGGTAAAGTCTATAAGGGATCCTGCTGGTAAGGTGCACCAGGTAAAGTCTATAAGGGATCCTGCTGGTAAGGTGCACCAGGTAAAGTCTATAAGGGAGATCTACAAGGTGTCCATCACTATGGAGTGTACGTATACCCACCTCACATATAAATAACAACTCTTCACGGTGTACCCGTTTTATCTTTCCAGGAAACCTTTCATCTGACGTCTTCATGGCTCGTACCTATAGCATTCTTAAAATCTACAAGTATTCTTTATGATATCTCCCTAACGATCTCATAACGTCTTCTTTTGTTCGGACTACGGCTTAATAACGTCGTCAACCTGTCATCGTAATGTCATCCTAACGTCATCATAACACCTAATAGTGGAGCCACAGCCTCCTCATCAAACACATCTCGCTGAGAGTTAGGAGACAGATGGCTGAAGGTCATATATATATATATATATATATATATATATATATATATGCCACAATTCATATAAAAAGGTTATTACATATTAATTAAGATTATTATGCCATCTTATAGGTTCCCGAATTGCTTACTTTTACAAGAATTGTCTATGGATGTGCCTGTGTACATCTATCTCTTATGTACCTGTGTACATATATCTCGTATGTACCTGTGTACATATATCTCTTATGTGCCTGTGTTCATCTATCTCGTATGTACCTGTGTACATATATCTCGTGTGTGCCTGTGTTCATCTATCTCGTATGTACCTGTGTACATATATCTCTTATGTACCTGTGTACATATATCTCGTATGTACCTGTGTACATATATCTCGTATGTGCCTGTGTTCATCTATCTCTTATGTACCTGTGTACATATGTCTCGTATGTGCCTGTGTTCATCTATCTCTTATGTACCTGTGTACATATATCTCTTATGTACCTGTGTTCATCTATCTCTTATGTACCTGTGTACATATATCTCTTATGTACCTGTGTTCATCTATCTCTTATGTACCTGTGTTCATCTATCTCTTATGTACCTTTGTACATATATCTCGTATGTACCTGTGTACATATATCTCGCATGTGCCTGTGTTCATCTATCTCTTATGTACCTGTGTACATATATATCTTATGTACCTGTGTTCATCTATCTCTTATGTACCTGTGTACATATATCTCGCATGTGCCTGTGTTCATCTATCTCTTATGTACCTGTGTACATATATCTCGTATGTACCTGTGTACATATATCTCGCATGTGCCTGTGTTCATCTATCTCTTATGTACCTGTGTACATATATCTCGTATGTGCCTGTGTTCATCTATCTCTTATGTACCTGTGTACATATATCTCGCATGTGCCTGTGTTCATCTATCTCTTATGTACCTGTGTACATATATCTCTTATGTACCTGTGTACATATATCTCGCATGTGCCTATGTCCATCTATGTCTTATGTACCTGTGTACATCTAACTCTTATGTACCTGTGTAGATATATCTCTTATGTACCTGTGTACATATATCTCGCATGTGCCTGTGTTCATCTATCTCTTATGTACCTGTGTACATATATCTCGTATGTGCCTGTGTACATCTAGTTCTTATGTACCTGTGTACATATATCTCGTATGTGCCTGTTTACTTATATATCGTATATGCCTGTGTACATATATCTCTTATGTACCTGTGTACATATGTCTCGTGTGTGCCTGTGTACATCCATCTCGTGTGTGTACATATGCCTCACATGTGCCTGTGTACATATAACAGCGTTGTGGTGACGTGTTGTTGTGGAGGATGGAAGGGGTGGTTTAGGAGAGATGCTCTGTACACACAAAGGTCATACTTCTCACGAGTCTGTCGTTCTTGTCAGCGCGCGATATACAACAAACACAACCTAGATTATAATCCGATGAGGTCTCTCATGTGTATAGTCTAGGGCTTGTGGTTATGTGCGTATGTCAGAAAAACCGAGAAGGGGTGTGTTAGTGAAAATAATACACGAGGTAGCGAATCTCGGACATAAATAATTCAGCTGATGTGGAGAGCATGCGCAACCTATGACCTTGTTTCAATGAGAGGTTGCACCTGCACAAGTTTCCCTCGTGCAGATTTGGGGAATGGTCTGACACACGTTTATGTAGGGTTGTTCAGGATATATTATTACCTTGAAAATAGTCACACTTAGAACAGTGTTTATTACGACATTTATTAAATCACGGTGACGTAAATGAATACTGATTGATGAATGTGATGCTGATAAAAAGCAGTGTGTGTGCGTGAGCGTGCGTGTGTGTGTGTGTGTGTGTTTTTTCACAACGCACTCGGCAATATTCCAACTGACGACAGCCTGTTAATAATCGAACCAGGACCAGACAATCCAGTGATCGATGTCACGGAATCAACAAAATCATTAAGCCTGACCACCTGATCCATTAACGGTCGCCTCCTATAGCTACGACCAGCGCAGCTTGCTGTGGACCATTTCATCCAATCAATCTTTATTTCGAAATACTGAGAAGTTCATATGCCTATAGTACATGAATTCAAAGTAGTTGAGGGTACATTTATACAACAAAATATACATCAATAGCTATGATAAATGTTAAATTACATCAAGTCGTTGTGTATATGCTTTCTGAGATTCATGGCATGAAAAATGAACATTGACCAAAAAAAATATTGTGACAGTGTTTTTAGTCTTCATTTAGTAAGAAACAGTTTCTACAAGTGAGGATTGTTGAAAAAACAATCATTAAAGAATTGGTTTCTGATGTCAACATCAAATGGATAAACAAGTGAAAAGTGATATTCATCTTCTATATAACCACAGATAAAGCGGAATCCCTACGTCTAACATAGCTACATAACTAGACCCGTGAAGATCCAGGGTAGAATATGTTTCCTGTTTTCTCGCGTAAGACAATATAATAATATTTAATTGCTAGCTGGCTGCTCTTTTTTGAACAAAAAGACGAGGAAACGGATGGTTGGCGATTTACATGACAGCTGCTAGGCGTTCGATAATGACACTCTTTATCTCCATTCTTATATAAGCTTATACATTGTGCGTTATAACATTAAGCTGTTATTGCCTATTTGCATGTTAAAACCTATGCGATGCTCCATCGCCTCCTCGACTCTTCATCCCAAGGCCCATATCCAGGTCTACATGTTGTACTCAGTGTCCGTGTGAAGCTGAGACTGTTTCTCTGACTTATCACGGGAATCATGGGAATCATGGGAATCATGGGAATCACGGGAATCACGGGGATCAGTTAATGTGAGCTGGATATACATCGTAATGTTTCAGTTTTTAGAAAAACAAAAGTTTTAATGACTTTAATGACGTTTCTTGGATAACTGCGTGTATATCGACTGCCAGCTTGAACAGAATGTACAGGGACTGACAGGGACTGTCTGGTTCCTCTTTTTGAAGCCCCATATATTCTATACCAAATATCCTCGTGTTGTTTGAGTTTGTAGAAACTTTAATTACTTTAATGACATTTAGTCCGATTCTAGTCCCCGTTTATTGAAATATCAAATATTGAAGCTAACATTAACAAAACATGTGGTCACTTCCATATACCAACTTAGAAAGTCGCTTCCTCGAATAGAATTAGCAGATAAATGTGCTAAAATGTATAACGTCCTGAAATAACTTAATAACATATAAGCGCTAATTGCGCCCTCAGGCAACCGTCACTTATGGTAAAAGACAATGACTACCCGGGGTGTATTGTGAATCACACTATGTTATCACATGTTGTATTTAACTGCATTCACACAACATACATTCAACCGTCAAACAAATCTTTATATCTCTGAGCAAACACTCAGCACCCTGCCCGTGTGGAAATTGACACCCGTCGAGAGAAAAGACGAATCAGGCAAACAAACTGTACTCAGAACACAATAGCAAAACGCCGGGTTTTGTTCTTACCCATCTCCTGTCGTGAGGTCAAAGTAGCCAGCAGCGACACCCAACACTAGCCGTCCGCCCATCATCCCGCGGGGCAGACGACAGTTGCTGGGAGCAGACGACAATCAGTGGAGCAGACGATAAGAAGATCAGTCTACTTTTACCCTCGTCAGGTGTGGCAGCGGTTTCGGTGGAATGTTCTTCTAAGTATCTGGTTTACACAACTTGGTCTTCTTGTGGTCTGTTTGTAACATAAACTTGGTCGCATTTGGTGATAGTTCACCGACATTACTTGGACGTCGATTCCCAAGTCGGGAGTAGTATCGTGGATAAACAACACAAGGGAAGACTGTCACAGGTAGGCTTATTGATGTGTTGGAATATATGATCATGTGATATTTGTTTATTTCCAGCACCACAAAAATAATTTTGCGAAATTTCATATTTAGATCCAATAATGTTCTTATTCTGTATGGAACCTCTCTTCATCATTATATTAATATGCAAAGACCACATGTCTCTTTAATACCATCATAGACATGCGTCAACATCTGTCATTGGCATATTGCATTGAGCCAAGATAACCATTCCGTTTTCCATTATGGGTGACATGCCCTCGGTCTGCCACGGAGAGAGAGAGGGGGGGGGGGGGGGGGGGGGGAGTGAGTGAGTGAGTGAGAGAGAGAGAGAGAGAGTGTGAGTGAGAGAAAGAGACCTTATCTGTGTGTCGTGTGTGCGTGTTGTGTGTGTGATTATGTGTGGTGTGAGTGAGTGTGTGTCTATGTGAGTGAGAGAGACAGTGTGTGTGATTATGTGTGACTCGTATACCGTTTGAAGGCACATCACCCTTTTGTTTGTGGTAGACATAATAACACACATGGGCTTCTTTATTAATGTAACTAATTCTACTCGCCGTGGAGTGCAGCACGATTCTACCACACATATCAAGAAATAGAAAAATACAATACAAAATGCATTTCTCGCTTGAAGCAATGCATAATATTATTTTGTTTATGGCATTCGCGATCAATATACTTTTCAATCTTCAATCCAGACAAGAAGCCTGGATTTTACAGCTGCGCGTCGATATCCACATCCCCGTATTTGCTTGTGTTTATCAGCGACATATCGAACTACAACGATCCTAACTCGGAACTGACTGAAGGCAAATCATGAAGCCATAACACCTCGTTGTTATAGAGCCATTCTGTTCATATAAAACAATCGATGCCTCCCCTGGTAATTGCAAATTCAGTTATGGAGCTTTTCTGGTGCCATTGCCATAGAATATCGTATTTGTCATGTATTATTAACCCTTCATGAAATAAAACATTCAGATATGTCTACGTGAATATTGTGACAATTGGCATCTCATTCCGTTTTGATGGTGACTCTTCTTGGCACGAGGCAGCTGTAGCTACACTGGTGACTCTTCTTGGCACGAGGCAGCTGCAGCTACATTGGTGACTCTTCTTGTCACGAGGCAGCTGTAGCTACATTGGTGACTCTTCTTGACACGAGGCAGCTGCAGCTACATTGGTGACTCTTCTTGGCACGAGGCAGCTGTAGCTACATTGGTGACTCTTCTTGGCACGAGGCAGCTGCAGCTACATTGGTGACTCTTCTTGTCACGAGGCAGCTGTAGCTACATTGGTGACTCTTCTTGACACGAGACAGCTGCAGCTACATTGATGACTCTTCTTGGCACGAGACAGCTCCAGCTACATTGATGACTCTTTTTGACACGAGACAGCTGCAGCTACATTGATGACTCTTCTTGGCACGAGACAGCTCCAGCTACATTGATGACTCTTCTTGGCACGAGACAGCTGCAGCTACATTGGTGACTCTTCTTGGCACGAGACAGCTGCAGCTACATTGGTGACTCTTCTTGACACGAGACAGCTACAGCTACATTGATGACTCTTCTTGGCACGAGACAGCTGCAGCTACATTGGTGACTCTTCTTGGCACGAGACAGCTGCAGCTACATTGGTGACTCTTCTTGTCCACGAGACAGCTGCAGCTGCATATGTCATTGTGCCCCAGCTGGTTCAGCCATGGGGAAACTGGTACCGGCATTGTCGAGGTGCTTTATGTAAGTGTGTCTTTTTATCATTCTATGGACTGTTTTACCTTACTGTGAACATCCACGTAAATCAAGACGAGGTGAAATGGGCGTCACGTCCAAGATTATTGCACTTATATAGCGACGTGCATGTACGTGTGTGTGTGTCTGCTTGTACTAGTCGGACTGATGCCGATTTATAGTGCTAGCTCACTGAGATACTATGCCGCAGTTTAACATGAATACCCCACTCAGACACAGTATACTGACTCCGAGCCGACCAGTCCTTGTTTTAGCCTCTTAATGCCGAGCGTCAGACAGGGTAACAACAAGTACCATCTTTTAACGCCTTTTGTATGACGCGGCCGGGGATCGAACCCCGGACCTTCCGCTCTCCATACGGACGCTCTACCACTTGACCACGGAGGCGGTCTAGATCAAGAAGAAGTCAATATTATCAACGTGTGACGTCGATGATCGATCTCATTAATGATTTTTGATAAAGTTAAATCCTTCCTTGTGAATTCGATCGGATTAACCATTTCCGTGTTTACGAATCAAGAGCAAGGCGAAAACGTCATGTGTAAACAGAGACATGTTTCCAACCGAAAGCAAACGGAGGAGGGTGTCCGGTTAAAATGAGTCCGTGTTAATAAGTTTCTACTGTATGTGATTTGTAGTATACATGCCGTTTCAAATGTTGTTTAGTTTCTAGCTGTTTCTTACCGAATGAAAAACTTAATATTAAACATTAATCATTATGACAATGGACGTTGTAGCAATTATATGCTCCTTTTGACGGATGTTGTCCAGTCCCGTGACACAATCATTGTTCCTTTCTATACTTTCCTTTAACACGTCCGTGAGGTATATAGTATATTAAGTTACTATCTTTGACAAACTGGTATATTGTATAAGGTAACACGTATACTATGTCCAAGGCTTTCTTGACAACGTTATAAGGATCTATACCGACACGTCGCTTGTGTCTACTTTGCTATATCACCTTGGCTCAGCCCACGAAAAGCATTATTACAAGTGATGTGAAATGGGATTTAACGTTGAGTTCAAGATTATGCACAGCGACGTGCATGCAGATTCACACATTGTACCCAGGTGGGGATTCAAACATGGGTCTTCGGCGTGACGAGCGAACCCCCACACCCCCAGCAGTATGAAGAGGTCTAACAGATACATCCTTGTGTGTGAGTGTGTGTATGTGTATCTGTGTGTTCGTGTGTGTTTGAGTGTGTGTGTGAGTGTGTGTGTGTATGTTTGTGTGTGTGAGTGTGTATGTGTGTGTGCGTGTGTGTTTGTGTGTGTGTTTGAGAGTGGGTGTGTGTTAGTCTCGTTTTGTAATGCAACCTAAGTGATTTACCATGCATCAGTGTGCATGCATGCATCCCACTCAGACGCTGTTCTGACCCTGAGCCAACCAGTCCTTGTTTTATCTCATTAATTCCCATCGTCAGCCACGGTAACAACAAGTACCATATTGTGGTATGACGTCACAGGGGATCTAACTCCCAACCTTCCGCTCCCCGGGCAGAAGCTCTAGGCATTAGACCACGGAGGTGGTTTCCAGGCATTTTAATATTGGCCATACATACATGTAATAAAGATGCTTGTCTTCAAATTACTTATGATCAAACATTATCAACAATGGATGAGGCAACACAAAGGAGGTTTTGTTGCCTTGGCTTCCTGAAGTGTGACGACTGACGCACTTGTGATGAATACCTGTACATGTATAAATGTCATGAAAGTTATACAATATGACCGGGAGATGAGGATGACTATCGCTGCACAATTATCAGTTAAATGTTCCTTCCTGTTAAGGAAGTCTCATCGCAATAAAATGTGCTTCATAACATACGTCGATATATATAATTATGTAGATTAATATGTGTGTTATATTTTTACATATGTTAAGTTTAATAGGTCGATGAACGTCCATTAACAGACATGTTTTTCTTATTTTCCCTGACAATGTAATACCTTCTGTGTGGTGACGCTTATGATGTTTGAAATAACTTGAATCTTTTCAAGATGTTCCTTGTGTTGCGGCTCCTAGGTCGACTGACTTTGTGAGTGAGGTTTAACGAGATTTTGTTAAGCGGTTTAACGCCGCTTTGAACAGTATCCCTGTCAGCTTAATGTGGGAAGAAAGCCCAAAGTGATAGAGAGACCCACGAGCACTCTGGTATGGTGTAGAAATAGCGATAAACATGAACCGGGATTCGAACCCACAATCAGGCAAACCTATATACACTCTTAATGTCCTCATGATGCCATAGCATTGGCAAACTCTGTGAAGACCTGTAATGGCGTCTCGGTCATTTTTGTATTACGGGCACATTCCCCGAAACTCAATCACTAACATTAACTGCTTGTTTATCGGTCAATACAGATCAGGTACGATATACCATGTTGAATCGTGTATAAAGGACACCCACGTGTCCGGATTGACAACGTTTCATGGACACAATCTACCTCATCGTACCGAGGCAAGGGACTTAAAAGTCCCGATTCCCTCCCCCATTGCCGAACTAGGCTTGAATCATGGAATTCTATTTTTGCAATGTTAACGAGTCTATGCATAGCCCCATCAAATGAGTGAGTGAGTGAGTATAGTTTTACACCGCTTTTAGCAATATTCCAGCAATATCACGGCGGGGGACACCAGAAATGGGCTTCACACATTGTACCCATGTCGGGAATCGAACCCGGGTCTTCGGCTCGACGAGCGAACGCTTTAACCAGTAGGCTACCAGACCGCCCCTAGTCCCATCAAAATCGAAACCGACACCCGTCCGTAAACAGCCGTGTTGGATTGCAGGATTTGCAAAGCAAGTGTGCCGTCATTTTGGCCTGCACTTCGCGAAATGAGCGACTTGAGTGGGTACCGCCATTTTGTTTGAAGCAGATGCAAATAATATGATAGGTCCAATCTGGTTGGTCAAAAGGAGGGACATGGAAGGGACATAACTCGTAATTTCCACTGGTGCCGCTACCATCAAGCCACGACATTCCAGCCAAGTTAGGCAAGGGTGAAAACTGGACTGTTACAGTAAGTTAACTCCCTTGTCTCGGGAAGATGTTTCTTTCATACTTACTAAATCTACTTCAATTAACAATAACGGAGAGGATATCAAGTACACATGTATCCTAGTAATTGCCAGGTGTGTGTGTGTGTGTGTGCGTGTGCGTGTGCGTGTGCGTGTGTGCGTGTGTGCGTGCGTGTGTCTGTTTGAATACGAACGATTATACAGCTCTGTCGAGCTCTGTAA